CCAGATTTTTATAATCCGAGATGTAGGGCCTACTATCGATAATAGGTTGTATTAATAACACCAATCGATGTCCAAACTGTGACATCGCGTTAGAGTGACCCCATGAACGGGTACACATCCACAGAGGTCATGTAGTTACATTGAGTCAATTATCAAGGTGAAAGGAACAGATATTGCTCCACATTTCCGATGCCGTACTTTTGAATTCTGCGTATTCCGTTCAACATTCTGGAGCCCGTTGTCAGAAACGTGAGATATTGTGAGGACATCATTAACCTCAAATGTAGGAACATGTTGAAGTGAGGTGTCTTGCAAATGACGTAACATTTTATATGCACGATAGTTACTATTTATGCTGTTTCTGACAACGTGTCCGTGTTCTAGTCTTTGTTTGGCTTACGCTGTGCGTAGCGCGTCAGCACCTGCGGCCCAGTAGGTCAGTGCCAGGTCGTGTCAGTTCTAACATTGTCTCACTTGCTGTGATTGGTAATTGTCTTCGTGACTGGTTCTTGTCGCTAAAATCTTTTCATCATTAACCCTGCGCATGTTTACAACAGACCTGTATACGGCCAATGTCACTTTAGTGATGAGATTACATGCTGTGTTCTATAGGGGCTAAGTTTGTTTTACCCAATACTGGTTGGGTAAAACAAAAATAAACATAAATGCAATGCTAACGGACGCGAAAGAAATGAAAAAAATATTTTCAATTATTATAGTATAGTCAGGCTACTAGTATAATACTCTAGCTGTTTAGCATCGTATAACATACTATCGCAGTGCAGTCAGTCTAGATTATAGAATCTATCATCACACTAGTAGGTAGTAGGTACTATAGGTAGACACACCGATCGTGCTATCGCGTCAGCTTACAGCTGAAACAGCATCGTACATCCACGCATACGCGCATGTGCGCTCGTAGGTGTGCGCGCGCGTGTTTGCATCATAGAAATAGAATAGAAGATCTTTTCTATTCTATTCTATTCTATTCTATTTCTATGGTTTGCATACGCGCATGTGCGCTCGTAGGTGCGCGCGCGCGTGTTTGCATACGCGCGTGTGCGCTTGTAGGTGTGTGCGTGCGTGCTCGCATACGCACATGTGCGCGCTCACAGGCGTGCGCGCGTGTGCGTGCGGTAGGGCCTAAACTCTAGCCATCGTCAAGGTCTATTATTAAAATTAATAATATTATCTAATACTGTATATTATATAATATAATATATAATATGATATAATTTATTATATATCGGTGTCCGTCGTTTGCAGGTCTTGGCCGTAGCTGCACTCACCGCAGCCGTAGACCTCGACGAGAACACTGGCTTCATCAACGACTTCGGCGGAGGCACGGGCGGCGGCGGCTTCCAACTACTGCAGTCTCGTCCTGAACAGCGCGGCGTCCGCAACTTTGGCGGTGTGGCGACGGGAGATGGAGTGCGTATCGGTCAGCAGCAGCCATTCGCTGGCGGTCCGCCGTTCGTCGGAGGTCAACCTCAACAGTTCGAAGGTCAACAGTTCGGCGGAGGTCAACCTCAACAGTTCGAAGGTCAACAGTTCGGCGGAGGCCAACCTCAACAGCTCGATGGTCAACAGTTCGGCGGCGGAGTTCAACCTCGGCAGCTCGATGGTCAACAGTTCGGCGGCGGAGGTCAACCTCGGCAGTTCGAAGGTCAACAGTTCGGCGGAGGTCAGCAGCAGCAGCTGGGCAGCGACCAGCAGCTGACCGGACAGGCACAGCCGTTCAACGTCCAGCCGCAGCAGTTCGAGAGACAACAGACGTTCGTCGGCGAACCTCAGCAGATCAGCACGCAGTTCGGCGGTCAGCAATTCGGCGGTCAACAACAGCAGCAGCAGCAGGCTATCGCCGGTCAGCCGCAGTTCGCTGGACAGTCGGACCAGGTCTCGCAAATCGTGCCAAACTTCGGCGGTCAGCCGCAGCAGTTCGGAGCGCAGCCGCAGCAGTTCTTCGGACAACAATTGGTCGGAGGAAGCCAGACGCAGCAAGGCGAAGCACAGCAGCCGACACCTGGCGAGCAATTCGGAGCAGCCCAGCCTCGCATCCTCGGTGCCAGCCAGCCGCAGACGTTCCCGTCGCAGTTCGGCGGAATAGGAATCGGCATTCGCAATCCGAACGAGGGCAGCACCGGCGGCATCATCGGCATCGGCGTGAGAGAGCCCAACGCAGCGGAAACGGACGCACAGACGGATGCTGGGCAGGATGCCCCCGGCGATTTCAATCCGTTCGGTCGGCAGAAGATCGGCGGAGGATTCCGGATCAGCGGCGAAGAGCCGCAGTCATTCCGACTCGATCTCGGAACCGGACCGGGACAGTCCCAACGCGGATCGACCGGCAGCGGATTCGTGACGTCGACAAACCGACAGACGGATGTCGGTTTCTCCGGTGCGCGCGCCTTCAACCCATACAAGCCTACACAGAAGACGTCGCCACGCGGACCCGCGCCCTTCAACCCCTACCTGCCGACGCGACGCGACGACGACGACGCCATCCCATCGCCACCCGAGCCGCGTCCATTCAGGAAGCCCGGCCAGGTGTTCAATCCGTACGATGACAGCACGGAGGAGGTGGAGGAAGAGACCGAGGAGGAGGTGGATGATAGGAACACGCCGCAGCACATCGGAGCAGATGCTTCGCTCGGAGACATTCGTCCCATCGATTTGTCGGCCGTGGAACGCAACCCGGCGCTTTTCCCGATGACTGAGCCCGCCAACGACGTGATAGGTGCGTACATGCACGCACGCGCACGCACGCACACGCACACACACACACACGCACACACACACACACGCGCGCGCGCAGACACGCACGCACTCTCACAATGGGAGCGGCGTTCGCTGTTACAGTGACAATGTCTGCGGGCGCGAGCGAGGGCCCCTTCCGCGTTCAGCGCATACTCCCCAATCACGCACCGCGGCAGCGCGCGTAGATGTGTGTCAGACGGATCAGGAGATATAGGCGTATGTAGTTCAGTGAGCGCAGTGCGGGTCGCTTCCTTGTGCGAGCGGGGAAACACGAGCGCGATCGGCTAGTTACGTCAGGCACGATGCGCTTCTCGAAAATTATTATCCTTCCATGAGAGTCTTCTCGTCAGACCAGCCTCCCAGCCGGCGTTAGAACTAGAATAGAGATATGCGTAGAAAGCTACTTAGGGTAGTGCAGATATTACTTCGTGTAGATATCCCAAGGTTATAGTAACATACATAGACTGGTGAATAGATTTATGGATAGATGGGTGGATGGATGGATGAATGGATGGATGGATGGATGGATGAATGGATGGATGGATGGATGGATGGATGGAGTGGATGATGATGGATGGATGGAGGATGGTTGGATGATGGATGATGTAATGGATAGATGGATAGAATGGATGGATGGATGGATAGATGATGAATGAACAATGAATAAATAGAATAAATAAATAAATGAAGGATGATTGATGAATGGATGACTGGTTTGATGGAATCAAGCAGTGAAACCCTATTTCTAAAGCCAGTTCACAATCGGCAGTATCATCACGTCGTGTGTTAATTTCTAAGAGATTTGCCACCCGCCGCAACAAAATATCTTTTGGCACGTCACAGGGCGCGACGCTACGACACAAGAGTTAAAACCTGTCCTCACCGCGTCAGCCGCCCTGTGCGTAGCAGTTCCAAACAGCAACTGCGGAAGAATAGACGTATAGAAGCTAGTCCCAGATTTTAGTCGTTTTGCAATAGATTTGCCAATTACTAATGTAAGCATGTATATCTATTCAACTTGGATAATTGTCAAAACTGGGCAAGTATACATAATACGCGCGGGCACTACTCCAGTTTAAAAGATTCGTACGTCAAACTGTAGCATGACCTTAACATCGACGCCTTGCTTTACAGCTAGAAGAAGCGCTCTGGAAGACTCATTTATTAAACTAGTAACTCAGCGACTGCTGTCTGTAGCCTTTCGTGTCGAAATCCTACAACACTGCGCTAAATAGTGCAGTCATACTTCCTGATTACATTAATGTGGATAGGTTGTCGACCCAACGGCGAAATTCGCTTCTGCAGAATTCTAGTATACTCGCGTGATTACGACAGCTGCGAGAGTCTATGTAATGAAACAAAGTCCATTTAATTATTTATTTAGATTATCTCTGTGGAGTGCGACATGAGAGGGAACAGATAGGCGCGGTGACCTTGGACGTTCGAGGGCGAGACTTTGACGGCATCCTGTCACACGAAGAGGTTTCTTCAGATGACGGAATGGCCGCCACAAGCGGACGCCAAGCAGTCTCGATTCCAGAGGTTTCGAGCATTTCGCTGACAAGTGTCGGCATCAGGCAGAATCATGTATGTGAGTCATCCACGTGGCGTGGATATGCGCAACATGCTCCCAATGACGAAGGCCGATGATAACTAAATATATTGAGATATAATATACTGCGCAGGCTCCGTGCGACACCAATGTTTTAAACTGATTCCCTAGCATAGCCACCGCAAACCCAGCAAATTGTTATTACTTATTTACATAAAATAATGGCAAAAAATGCATGAATTTCAAATATTCTCTGATAATTTGGCTAGCAAATATATAAGAGATTGTTAAGAGATTTTTTTTAGAGATTTTATAGAAGAACATAGTTTATAGTTCATAGAAATACTTTTGTCACCAGCGTTGTCGCGGTAACTTTGTCATGAGCGCGTGTAGGCATGAACTTTTGTCATGAGCGATGTAGGCTTGGTAACTTGTTGTCAGCCAGCGTAGGCAGGTAACTTTGTCCATGGAGGCGTCGTTAGGCTTGGTAATTGTCGGTCTACTTGCACGACGGACAATGTTTGGCGGCCGTCTTCCTTTGCCAACACCGGTTGTCGTCTATTGAATGATGGCTGGAGTGGGGAGTCCTGAAATGTGGGACAAGGCATAGTCCGAGCTCACGTGCGACTTTCGGCGGACAGAGGCTAACACGTGGACTACGGCGCGCCAAGGTCCGGAGTGATGCTGCTAAGTGATGGAAGCAAACCAAGAGTCGGGCAAGAGTTAAACAAAGTAATCAAACCACAGTTTAGAGTACGCTTCTCCCCCCCTCCCCAAGTTCCCGGTGAGTGCCGCTAAGTAGGAGGCGAAACTCAAGAGTCGGGCAAAGTTAAAGCAATGACAATCGTTCACATTTGAGTACTAGCGCCTTGATACTGATTACGGTTGATTTTTTACGCGTGAAATACGATTTGATTAATAAACCTGGCATGATTTTTTGAATGAATCACGCCGAACGGCCTTAAGCAACCACGCCGATCAATACTCTGGATCTGATTGTAAAGGTGATTCACCTTGCAGCAATCTGGATACGGCCAAGGAATGTCGCTGGACTGATGGCGATGCATCTTGCGCGCACTGAAGGTTGTTCCAGTGAGACGAACCCAATGCCGTCCTAGGCACTAAGCGCTGCTCTTCTTGCGACATTGCAACGACCAGTAAATCTACATCCAAGGAGGCAGTAAGTATAGTAGCAGCAGTTAAGCGCGACACACATACGCAGCAGCACACCAGCAGTCACCGCGACGCAAAAGAATCAATTCCCACATATTTATCGATAAGTCGAGTTAGGAGCCGGGTAGTAATTGCATTACTGGTACCTGATCGCATCCCTTCACTATCAATAAACATGTGGACTGTTTTACCGTCTTTAACAGTGGGACCTCTGTTATTTTTCAAACGAGCCTTTAACTCGCGAGCAACGCTAAACTTAACATGACAATTGCAAACATGTGGAGCTACACATAGAGATAGATTAAAACTCGCTGATTTGCAACTAAAATTAAAACTAATAATAAGACAACTTATCAGACAACTAATGATAACAACTTATGCCGATTCAAGTTAATCAGATAACACCCGAAAAGTGAAAAATTATCATACAATCTAATGATAACAACTTATTGCATACAAGCAGAGATAAACAACTTTCATTCAGCTAATATAACAACTTATCATACAAGCTATATGAATAACAACTTATGCATTCAATCTCCATGAAAAACTTATCAATACAAGCTAAATGATCACAACTATCATGTCAAGCTAATGAGAACAACTATCATACAAGCAGATGATAGACAACTTATCTTCATCTAATAGATCACGAGACTTGATCATATCAATCTAATGATAACAACTATGCGATACAAGCTAATGCTAACGCCTGATTATGCCGTGTAACGTTTAGCACGGACTCGCGCCTCTTAACCAGCGGGTACGTCGTTGTCCTAGCGGGACGTGGGGACCTGTGCGAACCGCGGAACGCTGCGCAAACAAATACACCGAACCAAATCACCCGTTGATTCCCCTGAACGCCACGCTACCGGCGTCACACCTGCTTACCCATGAATTTAACCGCGGTTGAATTGTTTTACCCCGTTAAACTTATGTGGAACAAGCCCTGAACTTCGGTAAAACGGCAATTAATTTAAGCCGCGTAGACGACAATTTATCCGCGGTTAAATTATGTATAACACGACCTCGGATTGGGTAAAAAGGCAATAATTTACCGGCAGTTGAATTATTTAAACCGCGGTAAAAAATTATTATTTCTGAGTACGAGTCATTCGCATATTCTCGCGAGTGCAGATGAAAGTCGACATCTTCGTATCGCGACTGCTACGTCCAACGACGGCAATGGACATGAGCTACATGATCTTGGTTGTGATTCAATGCTGCCCTGACGCATCGTAAGGATTATGCTGAAAGCAGCAGCACAGCAAGGAGAGGTGGCCGGAGGACACGCTCGTCTACGCGCATTTCAAGCTTCAAAGTTCGCCCGACGTCGGCCACGTTCTTCGAAGTGCCAGTGCCGACTGTTGCAAGGGAGAAATTGCTTCCAGGTACGGGGCTGCTGATCAGAGCAATGCATGTTTTCCTTCTTCCTGTATGCGCGCGTAAGACGTGATAGGCTTCCGCTTCACGCGTGAGTGGAAGGGTTTCACGTCGTGATGGGAGGGTTTTACGCGTGGAGTGGAGGGTTTCACGCGTGAGTGGAGGGCTATCACGCCGTGTAGTGGGAGGGTTTCACGCGTGGAGTGGGAAGGTCTAACGCGTGAGTGCGAGGGTTCATGCTGAGTGGGAAGGCTTCACGCGTGGAGTGGAAGGTTTTCACGCGTGAGTGGGCGGGTTTCAAGGGCGTGAGAGGAGGTGTACGCGTGAGTGGGGGTTCACCGTGAGTGGGAGGGTTTCACGCGTGATGTGGGAGGAGTTTGCACGCCGTGAGTGGGAGGGTTTTCACGCCGTGAAAGTGGGAGGTGTTCACGCGTGAGTGGGAGGGATCACGGCGTGATGGGAGGGTTCATGGCGTGAAAAGAGAGCTTAAAGCGCGTGACATGAGAGGTCTTCTACGGAGTTTCTCGATGGCGTAATAACGTGTAGCGTTCAGGCCTAGTCCACAGGTTACATATTATAGTGTCGTATGTTAATAGAGAATGACCTGACTGGGTAACCCAATCACCGTTCAAGTAAACAGTGAAACATTTTTTTTAGTTGCTCAGTAAATCTTCCATTCTGACCAAATTGTTGATTAAACTAACAAAGTAAGCCGAAAAACATAAGCCTTAAAAACAAAGTTAAAAGTATACGGAGAAATACCTCACGGCACCAAGAGTATTGAAATTGATAATAGTTTATTAGACAAGATTATACTAGCGATTTAAGAAGTATTATTCAGAGGTACTAAAACAGCATACGGCGGCGTGTGTTTTATCGTGCATCATGCGTACGCCCTACAGCCGCAGTGGCGAAGGCAGAAAGAAGAGCGAGGCGGTCGATGCAAGCAATCGAACACTAAGATGCGGGAGACAACCCGCATCTTCCAGTCGTTGAACATTAGACTCGGCGAGATGGAGAAGAATCAGGTTAGTGTTGTAGACTAATTAAACACGTTCGCAATGTACACTACGTGCACGTCAATGCTAAACTTGGCACTCAATGCAATCAATCAATAAGTTCTACTTTCAAATTTTGTTTGTATAAGAACACCGACTTGCTTCTCACTGTGCAAGAATATATAAATATATATATATAATATATTCACTGCATTAGCATAAAAACAAATTCATATTATTGTAGAATATAGTGTCATATATTCGAAATATGTATAATACATGCATCATATTCTATGTTTGCACAATGGTGTTCGTGCTATACAACCTTGTAGCGAAGTACAATAATAATTAAATAAATAAAACATAAGTAAATGAATAAAACTAAATATACTATAAGATTTTACTATCAATACTTATTTTCTATCGCGCAGAGCAGCGACTTGTGCTCGTCTCGGCAATCATATAATATCAGCATCTACTATGTAAGAACTTTCTTGTTTGGCTTGCTCTCGTTGCAGCATTCGAGCTAGGTTCGCGCAGGCGACTGTGCCTGGACAGAAGTCGCGTGTGCGTGTTCCAAGACTGGAATTCGCCATCGGCATGGCGTCCTATGTCTCGCGTCCCCGGTCGCGTCCGCCATTGCGTTCCTACTTGCAGGACAGACGAGAACTCTGAGGCTCCCACCATAAGCTTGGCCTTCGACGGCAAAGCAAGGCCGTAAACTTGAT